TTCGCACACAAGTGTGCTACACTTAACTATACTTATAACCCTAGTTAGGGGACTTCTAACCTTGCTTACTAAGTCCCATGATCCTCCAAGTAAACTCCAGGTTTTTAAATCTTGGGCATAGCCGCGGGAGCCCTGCACCACCGACATCCCAAGGCCTTCTAGATAAATACCAGCTCGTAAGGATTGACCCCTAAAGCAAAACATGTTATACGGTTTAGGGTTTAGGGTATATAGCACCCTTATGAAACGTGTCAAGACCGCTGGAAAACACTCCTGTCACCCTCACTATGGATGCGTGCACAGAGACTGTTATCGATCGATCTACCTATGGTACTCCAAACGCAGCCTAAGCCACTCTAGTGAACCCGGAACCGTCGTGTACTGCCCCAAGGCTCCATGTACCAATATAGCCTAACCCCCGAACCCTAGACCCTAAACCCTAAACCCTAGACCCTAGACCCTAAACCCTATATGCTTCGGCCTCAACGGCCCTATATTCAATGCGCACTTTCAGGCCCAAGTATATGCTATAATATAGGAGCCTTCATAATTAGAGTAGGGCTGTAGGGTTATACTATACTACAATTGTAACAAGGAACCCCCCCAAACATGGTATTGGTAGTCATTTAGGCCCCTGCATTAAGTGGGCACATGTAGCCTTAGCGATAAGGCGGTTCCGTTGCTCAGAAACTGGGCTTTGAAGTAACCAAGGAGAAAAAAGTATAGACTTTTTTAAAATGGTTCCTTTAAGGAACAGGTCCCCCAAAAAACAGTATAAACCCTAAACCCTAAACCCTGAAGAAGGAACAGGTCCCAAAACAAAAAGTATTAAAGTATGGTACTCCAGAGCTCAGAAAGCCTGTGCAGCTGAGGCCTCTACTTGGCCGACAGCATTGTTGATCCTCGGCTAAGCCGTGGGCACAGTTTAGGGTTTCGGGTTTCGGGGTTTAGGCTTTAGGGGTCTAGGGGTTTAGGGGTTTAGGGGTTTAGGGGTTTAGGGTGTAGGGGTCTAGGGGTTTAGGGGTGTTTAGGGGTTTAGGGTTTCGGGTTTCGGGTTTAGGGTTTCGGGTTTAGGGGTTTAGGGTTTCGGGTTTAGGGGTTTAGGGGTTTAGGGTTTAGGGACGATCTAGGGTTTCGGTTTATGGTTCGTTTCATATGTTTACAGATTTCACAAAGAATCCTATAACGAGAGGGGCTGCATAAGGCTTTATAATACAGCGGGAAGTCTGGGCTAGCGTTTGGGGTTCGAAGAGGCAACCTACTTAGACACTGCAACAGGTACATTGTAGGTTCCAGGTTCAAGAATTTTTGGGTCCAGGCATCAGAACCTTAGAAATCCTAGACAGTAGGTTTACGAAGTTGAATCTATAGGCCCCCAACGTGCTTGAAGAGGGCTCAGTCAGACAATAGTACAGTGATGTCGGAACAATAATGACAAGAGGGTTTTACCAAATACTCAAGCTTCCCAATTACATGAGAGGTGGGCTTCTGTTGCAATCTAAGAAGACAATGCCAATCCGAAACCGACTTCTTCAAGTCTTTGCCCTGAGCTCATCGTTACAACGCAACGCTCGCAAAACAGCCCGCCCTCCCCATCTCGAAACCTTAAATCCTGCATCGTGCACCTTAAACCTTAGGGACGAAATGAACCTTAAAAGGGTTTAAGGTTCATATACCATATAGGGATTAATAGTATATGGGAATAGGGCCCCTACTTTTAAGGGTCATCTGGTCCTCAAGGAACCCTTCAACCCTGAACCCCAAACTTTACACCCCTACGACACTGCCTAGACTACCCTCTCATGAAAGTGCCCTTACAGGAACAGCTATAGTGGCCTGGTTCGCACCCGGAACCCTAGCCACGGCGCTTGTGGGCGCCGGTGTGGGCCAACTCCTCGCGCTTGAACCAGATCCTGGGACGATGGAGGGACAGGGTTTGGGTTCAGGGTTTAGCGTTTAGGGTTCGGGGCTCGGGGTTTAGGGTTTAGGGTTCAGGGCTGAATGTTTCAGGTTTCGGACTCTAAGGTTCTAGGGTTTGGGGGGTAGAATTACGATGGTGGATGAGCCCCGAAAAGGTAAACTTGCCTGCTGCTGAGGATGCAGGATCCCGAAGCCCTAAACCCCTGCCACGGTTTAGGGTTTAGGGTTCCGGGTTTAGGGTTTAGGATTATCCTCATGCCCTTAAGGTAGAGTATAGGCGATCTTAGCACCAATCCTCCTACACCATCTCCCAACTTTCTGGGATTTCCTTTCCCTTGGCATCAAGATAGCCCAGAAGCCTCAGAGAATAAGGTATTTGGGCCTAAACCCTAAACCCTGAACCCTAAACCCTGAACTCCCTAAAGAGTCCTTCAACCCTGAATACAATACAAAAAATGATACTATAAAACCCTTACAGGTTGGAAACGTTTTTGTTGCACGAGCTCTGCTAGCAACTCGATGCGTGTCTTTGAGGACCCACTTGCGAATTGATAGGGCTTACCCATAGGCCCCATAGTAGTTCCTTTTTGGGATTACCCTATAGGAATCTAAATATATGAACCCCCCAAAAAGGAACTACTATGGGGCCTATGAAACCCTAAACCCTAAACGCAAGCACCAAAGCCATTCAAAGTCTAATTGTTGGGCCCTAAAGCTCACGAGGTTGGTTCCGAACACCCTATCGGGTATTGGGTTTTAAGGTTTAGGGTTTAGGGTATTGGATTTAGGGTTTGAGGGATTGGGTTTAGGGTTTAGGGTTTAAGGTTTAGGGTTTAGGGTATTGGATTTAGGGTTTAGGGTGTTGGGTTTAGGGTTTAGGGTTTATAGGGTTTATAATTCCAGCCCTGATGCCCTACTGTTAGGGTGTTGATGCCCCGCGTTCCTCGCGGTTTGTGTGCTGGGAATGCGGGCGTGAAGGCTTACTGTCGAAGGCGGTTTCGCGTTTGGGTTTAGGCAGGCTTTAGGCAGGGTACTGTAACGTAGACCCCCGATTCATAAACTCCCTCTCAAACCGGGCCTTCCCATAGGGTCCGTCGTTTAATCCTTTTCTAGGTACCAGTAGGGGGTTTATTCACCCAGGGTCATGAACCCCAAAACCCTACGAACTAGAGAGCTCTGATCCCGCTTTGTGGGGTGCAGCCCTCGCTCATCTTGGTTGCTGAGATCAGAAGCCCAAAAGAGAGTACACTTTCAGTTCGATAGTAGGTGTACCATAAAACGGTTTAGGGTTTAGGGTTTAGGGTTATCCAAAATCATGTCAAGTACGCCCTTGCAGAAGCCCGTAGATTAAACTTTGTTATAGAGTCCTGCGAAACCCTTATGAAGCTATACAGACAGCCGCAAGCTCTGACTGCAATGGGGCGTCTGTGCACCGCCGCAGAAGTCGCTGAGTCGCTTTGCATGGTACAGCCTGAAACGACAACTCTGGGCAGAAGCTTAGACGGTTTAGGGGTTTAGGGTTTAGGGTTTAGGGTACGGTTTAGGGTTTAGGGTTTTTAGGCCTTTGCACTTGACGGAACTTTGCTGATTACAAAGACTCTCCGTTTCAACCCTATGGCCTTAGGTAGGCTAGGGCAGTCCTACTCCCACTTGTGCTGCCTATCTGGGCTTTCTGCTGCCAGCGCGAGGTCGGAAAGCCATAGCAAGCCTCTCCGAACCGAGCCGCCTACTTCGAGGATCATGGGACTTAGTCACACATACGGTCGCTGTGCTTATAAGTACTTGTAACCCCACTTAAGGTACTTACTTGGAGGATCATGGGACTTAGTAAGGTTATATAAGTCCCTTAATTGGGGTTATAAGCAAATATAAGCACAGCTACCTTTATTATAACCCTACGTACTAAGTCCCATGTTCGTTTAAATACAACCGCACCTACTCAATCCCATGATCCTCCAACACCCTCTAACTGGAGATCTTGGGCTTGTCAAGCTCTATGGTGCTTGGGGTTTGGAGCTCCGCGGCTCAAGGCTTAAAGGGGTTTAGGGTTTAGGGGTTTAGGGGGGTGGGGTTTAGGTTTACTGGTTTAGAAATTTAGGGGTTTAGGGTTTAGGGGTTTAGGGTGGTGGGGTTTAGGTTTACTGGTTTAGAAATTTAGGGGCTTAGGGTTTAGGGGTTTAGGGTGGTGGGGTTTAGGTTTACTGGTTTAGAAATTTAGGGGTTTAGGGTTTAGGGGTTTAGTGGTTTAGGGTTCAGGGTCTGGTGCTTTAACCTTTTCCGTCTGCCCACCCAAGCAATCTCAGAGAGGGCTTGCGGGTCTAGGGCTGTCGGTCTACGAGTCAGCTCTGACCCCGTAATTAACCTCTACAGATGGGTGGTTGTCAAAATTATGGTCCCTTTTTGGGTCCTTATTGTAATACGGCACCTATTATTTAGGGTACCCCAAAAGGGACCCTAATTTTGACAACTACCTAAATGCTTGTAAGACCCTGGGGAAACACTTAGAGCCCCGTGCAAACTCCTACCGCCTACAACACCATGAAATGTCTTACGCACTTGAAAAACAACCATTCTTCTTTTTCAAACCCCGATATTGAGACCAGCAATTATAATTCTCTTATAGTAGTCCAGCTCCCGAAACCCCTGAATGCTGAACCCGCGCGTACCCTAAACCCTAAACCCTAAACCGGCAGGTAGCGGGGTGGGGCCGCCGATGAAGTCCTTCCGGAGCCGCGCCAGCTCCGCCTTGAACTCCTCGGATCCAAAAATAAAAGATTGCGAGGGCCCCGTAGGGTTCAAGGTTTGGGGTCTGAGGATTTGGGTGTTAGGATAATAGGATTTTGTTGTAGCTTGGGAAGGGTGCTTTATCTAAACCCCAAACCCGAAACCCCTTTTGCTGAAACCACTTTCTGACTGTCGCTGTAGGCCTTTTCAGATATGGGGGTTTCCAAAAATAGGGGACCCTAATATATTACCCTAAATAGTAGGATCCTTAGTATAAGGACCCCAAAATAGCCTTATTTTCGGAAGCTCCCATATAGGTCATTTGCGTTAGGCTTCATGCTCGCCTTTTTGGGGCGTTTGGGGGTTAGGGTTTAGGGTTTAGGGTTTAGGGTTTAGCAAGAATGTGTCGGATTGGAGCAGGGCGTGCAACAACAACTGCACATCAGTGTCCAAATGGTCAATAGGGGCTCCCCGCAGAGTTCTCGGGCAAGTTAAGGCTGCTACAAAGGATCTGTGCACAACCATAACCCTGAGGACATGTGTATATAAATAATTACATGTATAGATATATATATATATATACACATACATGCTTATTTTTCATTTATCTATTCATTCATTTGTTTAATTTAGTCACTTAGTTACTTTGTTTGTTTGTTTGTTTGTTACTTAACTAATTTATTAACTAAGTAATCGCATACTTATATCTATAATATATTTTTTGTAAGGAAACCATGATAAGGAGCCGATGATTCAGAGTTCAACTCAGCGATGTTCGGCTCTCCACTGGGCCCCCAATGTTACTAAAACCGGTGCCTCGAAGGACTCATACTTTAAGGCTTTAGGGTTTAGGGCTTATAGGGTTTAGGGTTTAGGGGTTATAGGGGTTATAGGGGTTATAGCCCTAAACCCTAAACCCTAAACCCTAACCCCCCCTATAACTTCTGAGCAGGATCCCTTCGTTTGCAACAAAAATGCTGCTTTCCTTTGGCAAGGCATTCAGGGCTGTCTCATGTCATAAGCTTTTCCGAAGGCCGCCAAACCCAGGTGTCCAAAAGCATGCCCTTCTAGACCCTAGACCCCGAAAATTCCTACACGGATCCCGTCATATAAAACCCTACAGAAACCCTCAACGGAACCTTTGAACAACCAGAAACCCTGAACCGAACCTTCATAGAAAAACTTACGAAAAGCCCTTGACATACAAGATCCCTTCCTGTTAAACTAGGGTCCCCGGCAACCTAGGAATGAAACAGGCTCGCTTTCGGGTGTTGGGTAACTTTGCAAAGAACCGACCCTGAACCCTATAAACCCTAAACCCAAAAAAGAGAAAACGGGCCCACCGAGAGACCCCACGCCCTGACCCCCGTTATAGCACGCGTCAGGAACCCCAAGCCCTAAACCCTGTAATATAGAAGCCTAAATAATTACCCATGTTATTTTGGTGGTTCCATATTATACAATCATTATAGTATAATGCGGGCACCAAAACCCTATTCCGGGTGAAGAAACATTGTGAAACACCGAGTTGGGAGCTAGGATTAGGGGGACCCTTGGGGATATAGACCCTCTCAATAAGGCCCCTTTTAAGAGAGCCAGAAGGTAGGGTTCAGAACAATCTAAACCCTAAACCCTAAACCCTAAACCCTAAGTCCCTAAATCCCCTTTGAGGGGTCTAAACCCTAAACCCTAAACCCTAAATCCCCTTTGAAAGGTCTCTCTATTACTACCTAAGCCGAGTGTCCGGATCCACCTTCCACTTCTTCCAAGCCATCTCCAGCTCGTGGTGCGCTACCATCAGAGTCTCCTGGGTTTAGGGTTTAGGGTTTAAGGGTTTAGAGTTTAGGAGCTTATTGAAGGAAAGTACAGGTGGGGAGATTAGGGTTTATAGGGCTTCTATAAGGCTTCCATAAGGAATGTAGACCTTCTAGAAGGCTCCTTTTTGGGGTAACTGCCCACCTGAGAGTCTCCTGGCGAGGCAGGGTGTTCGGTGAAGGCTTCGGGGCTGCCCCTAAAACCCTAAAGCCCTAAACCCTAAACCCCTAAAGCCCTAAACCCCTAAACCCTAAAACCCTGAACCCCTAAACCCCTAAACCCAACAAAACCCTCAACCCCTAAACCCAAAAAAACCCTCAACCCCTAAACCCTAAAAACAACGGATTTTGGTTTTTGTCCGGCTGCAGCCTTCCGGGTTCTCCTAACCTTAGTAAGGGGGCTCCTTGAAGGTCTTAAAGCGTTCCTTATAAATAGGGTTCTGTACTTCAAGGATCATGGGACTTAGTAAGTAGGGCTATAATTAAGGCAACTATACTTATAACCCCAATTAGGGGACTTATAACCTTACTTACTAAGTCCCATGATCTTCCAAGTAAGGGATCTACAAGGGATTAGGGGTCTCAGGATCAAGGGACTTAGTGAGTAAAGATATAAGTACTATAACTGGGGTCCAGGGCGGCTCTTTGTACTGTAGGGCTTCGTCAGGGTTTCGTACAGGGTTTATGGGAGTCTCCCCACAGGTGGGGATACTTTTTGGATGGTCTCAATAGGACTTGTGGTCTTACTGTTATACTGGCTTAGGGTTTAGGGTGTAGGGTTTAGGGTTCAAGTTTTAGGGTTTAGGGTTTAGGGTGTTTACCTATTATAAACCTACCATTTGCTGCCCAGGGTCTGGGATGAAACGACCGCCGAAGACGGAGGTGCCAAAGTTCCACTTGTCAGCGTGCTTTTTCCTGCTTCAGACGGTCTTTACAAGGGGGTTTCGGAAAATAGGGGACATATATTACCCTAAATAGCAGGATCCTGATTATAAAAAATTAGGGTACCCCATATTTTCGGAAACTCCCATAAGGCTTCCGTACGGGTTCTATCATATTAGGCTCCTGATTCGGCCGTTACGGCCCATCCGGGGTCTACCGCCGATGAGCCGAACGAACGCCCAAAATTAAGGTTCAGACTTTAGAGATACGTCTCTGCATGGCATACGCATTGGCATCTCGCCGTCCCAAGTTTGACCCATGCGTTTCCCTGCTTGAAGGATCCTGGGACTTAGCAAGGGACTCCTTGACGGTCTCAAAGCGCTCCTTCTATTATAGGGTTCTGCAAGGGATCTATACGCGATTAGGGATCTAAGGATCATGGGACTTAGTGAGTATTATATAAGTACTATAACTGGGGTGATAAGCACTTATGAGTATACTTACCTTACTTCTAACCCTGGTTCCTATAGGTTCCATGATCCCTAAACCCTAAACCCTAAACCCCTAAACCCTAACCCTAAACCCTAAACCCTTAACCGCAGGAGTCCATGTGCTTACGTCGGGTCAACCCTGTAGCTCAAAGGTTTCCACGGCTCCAGGCGACAGTGGAGCCCAAAGGCTCCATGTACCTTTATAGTAGGTACTTAGGCCTTAAAGGGGTCCCTATATAGGTACTTTATGGCCTAAGTATCTACTATAAAGGTACATGGAGCCTTAGGGGGAGGTACCTGCCCAGTGACACCTCAGAGACCCAAGGTTTAGGGCTTATAAGGATGGAGCGGATGCATCAGCAGATGCAGCACCCCCAGAGGTAGGATCGGATGTAGACCCCGACGAAGCCTTCGATGCCGGTGGAGGCTCATGAATGGCCTTGGAAACGGCAAACAGAAGTTTGCTGCGTCCGATAGCTGGCCCGGACCGAATGAAGGCCGTGAGCTGGTTCCCGTCGGTCTGATAAATCCAGGCCAATCCGTCCTTTAATTCGGATGGAGTCCGGATGTTCTCGGCCAGCGGAAGGGATGCAGCTCCAGAAACCTGAAGGTTTCCTGAAGGGTCCATGTGCCCCAATAGTAGATACTTTGGCCTCAAAGTACCCAAATAGGGATTACTTTAAGGCCAAAGTATATACTATTTAGGTCAGGGTTTAGGGTTTAGCGTGCGGAACCCTCATAACCTGCCCAATGACACGTCAGAGACTCATGCTTTCGGAACCCTCATCAAGCCTGACAAAGTCGCGACACACACCCCAAAACAGTAATTTAAACACAAAACCCCCCAAAAACCAGAACCCTAGGCACGTTGAATTCATTGTCCTACCCTTACTTGGAGGATCATGGGACTTAGTAAGTAAGGTTATAAGTCCCTTAATTGGGGTTATAAGTAAATATAAGTACAGTTACCTTAATTATAACCTTACTTACTAAGTCCCATGATCCTTTAAGTAAGTTTCCTAAAGCTGGCAGGCAGCGGAAAGCTCAGACGCTGCCCGCTTCAAAGCTCCGGACCCCTAAACCCTAAACACGAAACCCTGAACCTTAACCCCTCAAACCATAAGCCTGAACCCATACACCCTATGAAAAATAAAAACAGGACACCTGCAGAAAACTCTAAACCACCCTAAAGTGTTTAGACACACCTCTCCTAGAGAAATAAGAAGGGTAACCTTTCAGATTCCAACTAACCCTTAGCATCAAAATAGCCCCAAAGCCTCATAAAATAAGGTCTTTGGGCCCAGAAGCCTTAATATATGAGTCCTTGGAGGGTAAGGGTAAGCGATAAGAATCCCAAAAATATTGAAGATAAGGCATGGGAGAACCCAGGGGGTGCTTCCGAAAATAGGGGACCCTAAAATAGTACCCTATATGGTATAGGATCCGATTGTAAGGACCCCCCAAAATAAGGTACCCTGTGATTTTCGGAAACTGTTGAACTCTAAACTGAGGTGCCTTTTCATCGGTCCCAAAGATAGTACGGCACCCTTATGAAAAAAAGCCCCTAAAAGGGACCCTAATTTAGAAGACTACCCACGCACCCTTATAAACCCTACAGAAACCCTTATATAGATCTCTTTAACGAACCCCAAAAGGGACCCTACATGTGGAGAACTGCCCATAACACCTTATAGCACCCTTATAGAAACCCTCTTAATTCTCGGCAAACTCCCACGTAGAGCTCAGGAACTCAAAGGATCCCGTGAACGGTTCAGGGTTCAGGGTGCAGGGTTTACCCTTACCCTCAAAGGACAGATACTTTTAAAAGGCTTTGAGGCCCAAAGACCCTATGATATTGGGGTTTAGGGTTTAGGGTTTAGGGTTTAGGGTTTGAGGCCCAAAGACCCTATGATATGCGGATTTTGGGCTATTTTGATGCTAAGGGTTAGGGTTTGGGGTTTAGGGCTTTCCACGGCCTTTCCGTCTCCTCCTTGTCGCTGAGCGTCTTTTGCCGCTTTGCCGGAGGCTCGGCCTCACAGCAAAACTTAATTATAGGGGCCTCTATAAGGGTTTAGGGTTTAGGGATTAGTTTGGGGGGGCTCCTTGTTAAGATTATACTAATATAAAGGACCCCAAAACCCTAATCTAATTATTAAGGCCCCTACATCAGGGTTGTTTAGGGTGGGTGAGGGCGTAGGGCTTCAGGAGTGTAGGCTAGTAGTTGTTTCGGACATAGGCTTTTACCCCAGGCATCAAAATAGGCCAAAAGCCTCATATAACAGGCCCAGGAGCCTTAGAATATGAGTCACTTGGAGGGTAAGGGTAAGGGTCTTTGATTCCAGGGATACGGTGGATAGGTCAAACAACTAAAGGTCCTCTCCCACACGACTCTATGTGTAGGAGCTTTTCGGTCCAATTACAGTCTATATACATACACCCTAAACCCTAAACCCTAAACCCTAAACCCTAAACCCAAAACCCTAAACCCTATATATGTATATATGTATGTATACTGTATATTTGTATATATCTATATATAACCCTATTGCGGGCAATATGGAGTCTAGGCTTCCGGCTTGTTTTTTTTTAACAGTTCGTTCTTGTCTGGGCCTTCATTTTAGGTTCGAGCTTTCATACGGCTGATGGACAAAATCCTGCATGACCTTATATACCTAAACGATTAGATTTATGGTGCTATACTATATTTGGGTCATGCAGAATTTTGTCCATCAACAGTATGTTAACACTCCTAATTAGGAGTTAAGATCTATAGGTTGGGGATAGTTTAAGGTATTTCGGAGCCGTGACTTGGTAAGATGGCTAAGTTTCGCAAATTGCATGTAACACATTCTCCTCTTGTCTTGTTGAGGAAGACTTCCGCGAGATGCGGGGCCGTGCAGCTTTGATGTATGCAGCTGATCAAGGTCATGCTGAAGTTGTGCAGTTGCTCCTGGAGGCCGGTGCCCAGAAAGGAGTTGCGTGACAACGAGGACATGACGGTGCTGATGATGGCATCAACCCTAAACCCTAAGCCCCTAAACCCTAAACCCTAAACTTTCAACCCTAAACCCTAAACCCTGATCTGATCCTGTAGAAGAAATCTCAAGGATGCTGCAGAGAAAAAGCTTCTTGCTGCGATGTTTCCAGATTCTGGCCGCAGGGCCCCAATATTAACGAGGCTTTTGAGTAGTACCCTTGTGCCGTTGTTTATGTGTGGGGTTCCCCTGTTAAAAACCGAGTATTAGGAAAAAGGGTACCCTTATTATAAAGGGGTCCCTCGGAATCATGTTAAACCTCCCAAACCTACAACACTCTTTCGACGTACACTCTCCTGTTATTAACCCCCTGCATTATTCTCGCCCTGGCGTTGCGTGACTAACGGGACACTTCATCCACTAGGACTTCCAATATAGGGGCCTCTATAATTACCAATACCTTTTTTGGGGGTTCCTAATTATATAGTAGAATATACCCCCAAACCCTATTCTAACTATGACGGCCCTATATATAGACATATACATATGTATGTACATACATATATATATATATATGTGTATATATTACATATATATATATATATATTACCTTCAAGTACCATGTCATGTGCCTAAGGTTCCAGGCTTTCGGGTTAGGTCCCCCGGTAGTACCCTTTGGCCCTTTTGGTTGGCAGGTCTCTTCGCGAGAGCTCAGCGCCAGCCTCCCGCAGCAACCGCACCACTGAAGCATGACCCTCGCGTTCTGCATAGGTCAGTGCTGTGCGGCCCTCACCGTCGCACAGATCCGTTGAGCGCGAGCCTGCAGGAGGAAACTCACGATTTGGGGATGGCCATGAACTGCTGCCTGTGAGAGCGCTGTGAAGCCCTCCTCGTCGTCGCGCAGATCCGTTTGAGCGCGAGCCTGCAGGAGCAAACGCACGACATGCGCGTGGCCCTTGTCTGCTGCACGTATCAGCGCTGTCGGGCCACTGTGGTTCTGTGTCTCCGTCTTAGCGCCCGCGTCCAGCAATGACTCAACCACTGCAGCATGACCTTGGTCTGCCGCCATCATCAGCGCGGTCTGGCGCCCGTGGTTCTGCACTTCCGTCTGAGCGCGGGCCTCCAGTAGCAACTTCACCACTGAATCATATCCTTGATCAGCGGCCGTTATCAGCGGTGTATCTCCCCGGATATCACAGACATCCTTCCGGGCACCGGCATCCACCAGCAACTTCACCACTGGGGCATCATTGTGGAGGGCCGCAACCATGAGCGCTGTAAATCCCTCTTTCTCAACATCTTTCTGGGCACCGGCCTCCAGGAGCAACTGGACGACTGTAGCATGGCCCTGGCAGGCAGCATCGATCAGCGCTGTAGAGCCACGTCCAGTACGCAGCTCCTTATCAGCCCCGGCCTTCAGGAGCAATTCCACCACCGGGGCATCGCCCCGGCGCGCCGCCAAGATCAGTGCTGTAGCGCCATTGTGGGTTTGTATATCCGGATTAGCACGTGCTTCTAGGAGAAGCGCGGCACAATCAACATGGCCCTTCTCACATGCATAAATCAGAGGCGTCAAAATCTCGAATTCGAAAACAGCCTGAAGATCCGGATTCATGGGGCACTGCAGCAGAATTTCGACCTCAGAGCTCCCAAAAGCGCACTGAGGATGCAGAAAAGCCAAGGTTCCGAGGGTTTCGTAGAGGTGTTGTGGCAAAAGATGAGTTTGCAGATTAGGACTAGGACTGCGATTCCGGGGATTTCGCTGCTCGGTTGGCTGACGTTCGTGAACACCTTGCCTGGGCCACGTCGCCATCAGATGCCGCTCTGAATAGCTCCCGAGCCGTAGGGACACCGTCCTTTCCGATAGTTCCGGGCCTTGGAGGTTCATGGGTAGGTATAAGTAGGGTTAGTCCCCTAATATAGGTTATAATTATGGTTACCGTACTTAGAACCCCACTTATAACTACCCATGAGCCTCCTTTCATCGTCGACTTGGACGAAACCCAACTCCAGCACCTGCAAGTCGACCTGTCGACTTGCTCCCGCACAGTTCAGCCGCTGTTTCTTCTGACAAAGCGAGCTCAGGTCCTTCGGAGCTGAGTTGTTTTAGCCCCAAATAAAGGGGGTGGCCTTTCAAACGATTCTAGGATAATATAATTATATAATATAAACACCCCAAACGGACGAAGGTTACTTACAGGGCACCAAGGTTGCGATGTCATCATCCAAAGGCTTGCTTTCATGAAGGAGCCTTTGCCTGAAGCGCGGTGGCAGCCCGTGCTGCTGATGCAGTCGCTTCTTCAAGGCCCTCACCTATACTGAACTTGATAGCCGTGCAAAAATATTAATTTCAGCTTTTCTTATAGATTATTGTAGCCCAAACACTAAAAAATACTCCCAAGTCCCGCTAAGTCGCATCATTCACCTCGCTCAGCTCCGTAATCGGAATGATGGCCACCTCTTCCCCGGAAAGTCGGTTGATGCGTAGCATTGCTACTGAGCCTCGGGGGCACGGAGAAGGACTCCTGAACCCGAAACCGCTGTAAACCCTGAACCGTATTAGCCCCGAAGAGCCTAAACCCTAAACCCTAAACCTTGAACCCTAAACCCTAAACCCTGAACCGTAAACCCTAAACCCCAAACCCTAAACCCCCTAACCCTGTAAGCCCCGCAGACCTTGCCTTTCGCAAGGCCGAAGAGACGAAGCTCTGAGCCGAAACCATCGAGCGCAGTGCAAGAAAAGGAAGTACTTAAAGGATTATGGGTTTAGGGTTTAGGGTTTAGGGTTTAGGGTTTAGGGTTTAGGGAAGTACTTAAAGGATTATGGGACTTAGTAAGTAGGGTTTAGGGACTTAGAGGGTTTAGGGTTTAGGGTTTAGGTACTTTAGTGTTTAGAGTTTAGGGTTTAGGGTTTAGGGTTACTTAAAGGATCATGGGACTTAGTAAGTAGGGTGATAACTAAGGTAATTACACTTATAACCCCAATTACGGGACTTATAACCTTACTTACTAAGTCCCATGGTCCTCCAAGCAAGCAGGTGTAGGTGCCCCCCAGACCTGGAGGTTAGGTTCCTGCATACCTGGAGGGTTATGGGACTTAGTAAGTGAGATTACACGTCCCTCACTTGGGGTTACAAGCATTTACAAGTATAGTTACCATAGTTATAACCCTAGTTACTAAGTCTCACGATCCTTTAGGTAGGGTTAGCATCGCTCAGCTCCTCGAGAGGATTAATAATCAGTCCTAAACCCAAGTACCTGCTTCTTAGGTCCTTCGGACCCACAAACCCTATAAAGAAACCCTGTAAGAACCCTTATCAATGCCCTTCTACAACCCTTATAGGTATCCCACCCGAACAATGATTAATTTAGGCGCCTAAATGATTACCTATACTATGCTGAGGGTTCCTTACTATAAGTATAGTGTCATATATCCCCCCAGAATCCTATTCTAGTTATTATAAGCTCCTACATTACATCGTTGGAACCGTCAAGGACGTTAACCCCGAGGCCCACACGGAACCTGGATGAGAAGAAACCCTAAGGGTCCATGTACCTAAATAGTATATACTTTGGCTTTAAAGTAGTCCCTATTTGGGTACCCTAAACCCTAAACCCTAAACCCTAAACCCTAAACCCTAAGCCCAAAGTATCTACTATTTGGGTACATGGGCCCTTAGGGAAACGTGCCGAAGCCCTCAACTCAGAGTCTCGACCACCCATGCAGTTTAGGGCTTAGGCTTTAGGGCTGAAGAATTAAGTTTGGTGGGGTTAGAATCTTGGTTTAAGGTTTAAGAGTTGGTGAGGGTTAGGGTTTACCTTGCAGGAACCTCGCAAAGGACAGGTCTTTAGGGTTTAGGGTTTAGGCGTTAAGGTTACGGGTTTGGGGATGGTGCCAGGTCATCCCACGAAAGGATCAACTCGACATTCGGTTGCATTGGTATTTACATGTTCCTGGGTTCTTTAGCGCAATCGCGGCCGTGAGTCGAGCTGCCGTAAATCCACATCTGATTACTCAAGCCGTGGACCCTTAAACCCTTATGAACAATATAGAACCCGTTTCAGCACCCTTCAAAGAAATCGTTACAGAATCCCACTGTCAAAACCCGGTACGTAGTTATTCTGACTATTCACACCCTGGCCCCATCTAGACTGCTTAGGGAACCCTAGACACTGCACAGAGCCCTTGACAGCAGCCGAACCTCTCACTAATACCAGAAGCCTGCACACCAAACCCTAAGACCCTTTTCCGAACCCTCCGAGGAGCAGTTCGAAGAAACCGCTTTTCAGATTCCTCCTTAGAGTTTGGAGGATCATGGGACTTAGAAAGTAAGGTTATGTCCCTTGATTGGGGTTATAAGTATAGTTACCCTACTTATAACCCTACTTACTAAGTCCCATGATCCTTTAAGTAACCCTAAACCCTAAAACCCTAAACCCTAAACCCTCTAAGCCCCATGTCCTTTAAGTAACCCTAAACCCTAAACCCTAAACCCTGAACCCTAAACACTAAAGTACCTGACCTAAACTCTAAACCCTAAACCCTCTAAGTCCCATGATCCTTGAAGAAGTTGTCGGGGCTCCGCGCCTGTGTGCTTCCAAGCGGGCCGCCGCTCAGCGTGCGCACGAGGCTTCCCATCTAGGCAAATCAGCTCAGGGTTTAGGGTTTAGGGTTTAGGGGTTAGGGTGTAGGGTTTAGGGTTTTAGGGTTCAGGGTTAGGGTTTCGGGTTTAGGGTTTAGGGTTTAGGGTTTAGGGGCTAGGGTTTAGGGTTTAGGTTTTGGGGTTTAGGGGCTCAGGGTTAGACAAAGGATTACGGGGGGTCGTTGAAGGGTTTATAGGTTGTTGTAGGGTTTACTGTCTTATCGAGGTTCTTGCCTAAAGTTCCGTGACAAGGGCTTTATGGGTCGGTTTCTTTTACGGGTTCCTGTACCCTACTTGGAGGTTCATGCGTAGTTATCCCTAAGGTTTGAGAGTTAAGGTTTAGGGTTTAGGGTTTAGGGTCTAGGGCTTAAAGTTTTGGACTCTTTGAGCTCTGCTCACCTCAATTAACTGAAAAAACCTGAACTGATACCCTAAATCCCATATCCGAAAGAGGGGTTCTTCCTAAACAAACCCTAAACCCGAGCCCTGAACCCTAAGTCTCAAACCTTAAGCCCTAAATGTGAGCCCCTGACGGCAGAGATGCCATTCTTGCCCAGCTCCTGTGATGGTACTATAAAGGCCTCTGAAGAGGGCTCAAGGGGTTTAGGGCTCAAAGCAGATTCCAGAAAGGATTCCATGAGGGTTCAATCAAGGTTCCATAAGGATTCTTCGAAGAATTCCATAAGGCTATAAGGGTTCCAGGAGCGATTCCGCCAGGGTCCTGGGGGTGCCCGAAGGGCGCATGTCTCCCTGTGATATATATCTTCTCGGCGCCAACATACCCAGTAAGGCCTAAGGACCATATGCTCCTATGACTGGAAGGAGCACTTGCGGCTTAAAAGGGCTTGTTTTGAGGGTCGAGTTGTTCGAGCTTCAGGGTTCTGTAGAGTTTCTTGCTTGGGGTTTCCAAGTTCATTTTCTTCTTTTGAAGGCACCTGTCCTCACTGCCAGTATGGTCCCTCAAGAAACGTTGCTCATCCTGGTATAGGAATGTCGTACACCTAGCAGGATTTGAAGTTTGAGGCTTGGGGCTTTCATGCTATTTATGATCTTTAGGCTTCATGGTCTGACTTGGGGTTTAGGTGTGACGGGGTTCTTGCTTAGCTCTCACAAGCCCTAAACCCTAAACCCTAAACCCTAAACCCTAAACCCTAAACCCTAAACCCTAAACCCTAAGAGTTCTGTCAACATAGACCATGGTTCGGGACAGCTCCATCCCACAGTACTGGGAGGAAGGTCTGAGGAAGACACTAAAACAACACACTCCTCTCTAACCTGTCGATGCCTTTCCGAAACCCTAAACCCTAAACCCTAAACCCTAAACCCAGAACCCTAAATCTTGAAGCCCAAAACCCTAAACCCAGAACCCTAAATCTTGAAACCCAAAACCCCCGAACCCTAGATCCCCAAACCCTAACACCTCCAATCCTGGACCCGAAATATAGGGGCCCTTGCAATTAGGATAGAGGGTTTAGGGTTTAGGGTTTTGGGTTTTGGGTTTAGGGGGGGGTAGAAGATACCATAGTCATGCTAAGGAAACTCGAAGAAAGATGGATAATTATCACAGCCCCTGAATTAGACCCAAAACCCTGCGGCAGAAGCTTCAGCTCGGCTTCAAAATGCTATTTTCCAGAGTCTCCGAAGCAGAACCCACCACGATCCTGTTGGAGTTTCCTTTGAATCCCTTTGGAGTTCCGGTTTAGGGTTTAGGGTTTAGGGCTTAGGGTTTAGGGTTTGGGGTTCCCTTCAGGGTTCCTTTGGGGTTCCTTTGGGATTCCGAGGGAGAGCAAGGTTCCTGGGTTTAGGGTTTAAGAAAAGGTTGCTTCCCTATGCACCGTCAGTCCTAAACCCTAAGCCCTAGATCCTAAATCCTAAACCCTAAATCCTCCACCCTAAACCCTACGTCTCTGTATCCTGCACAATCTTGGAGCCGACAACACATCCATCGGCGAAAGTGCTGAACTCCTCGACAGGACGTGGCTTCTTGCTTTTCAGGGGCTCAGGTTTTGGATGTGGGGTTTGGGATTTAGGGCCAAGATGCTGCAGGGTGTAGAGTTTTTAGGATGTTTTAGGGTTTACGGCTTTGGGTTGGGGCGGGTTGTCGTATGATTTTAAAGAATTTCGGTCCTTGTGGCTCAGCTTATATGAGATGAACGCCTGAAATTTGAACACTAAACCCTAAACCCAAGTGGAGCCATTTCCCGACGAGTTCTTGCAAAAGACCAGGAGGTTGATACCGGGAGGTGACTGCATCTGCTGTGGTGTACAAACATACTACTCATGCTGATGTTAGGGTTTTGGGTTCCTATTATAAGGGTACTACAAGGGTATAGGGCTATGGAAAAAAGAAGGGTACTACGGTAATTACAAGGCTTGCTCTAAGCGTTTAGGACTTACTAGTTCATGGTTGGGGTAGTATTAAAAATTTTAATTTATATGCCTTATTGGGTTTAAGTACCCTTAAAAATGTAAAATGTTACCCAACTATGACAAAGCTTAGGGTGTTCTGCCTGCTTGGCGTGAGCCTTGGCCACTGTCACCAAATTCTTCGGCAACTTGAGAGGGCTTAGGGTTTAGGGTTTCAGGTTTGGGGTTTGGGGTTTAGGGTTGAGGGTTTAGGATTCAAGGTTTAGGGTTCAAGGTTTAAGGTTTAGGGTTTAGGGAGTCTTCATTCGGCTTTCTGAACCTCGTGTAGGGAACTTGGCGCGTTAGGATGTTGGGTTTAGGGGCCCTACTTAAAGGATCATGGGACTTAGTAAGTAGGGTAATTAAGATAACTATACTTGTAATCCCAATTAGGGGACTTATGGCCTTACTTACTATGTCCCATGACCCTCCAAGTAACAGCTCTCCAGGGGCAAAGGTGCGGGGAAGTTCGGGAAACCAACCGGAACCAGTGGCAGCTCCTTTTCGCAGGATCCTCCTTATGCACAAAACTGGATACTTTAAGATCCCTAAACCCTAAGCCCCAAACCACTTTAAGATCCCTAAACCCAATTCAAGATCCCTAAACCCTAAGCCCTAAACCACTTTGAGATCCCTACACCCTAAACCCTAAACCACTTTCAGATCCCTAAACCCTAAACTCTAAACCACTTTAAGATCCCTAAGCCCTAAACCCTGAACCACTTCCCTAAACCCTAAACCGTTTCAAGATCCCTAAGCCCTAAACCCTAAACCAATTCAAGATCCCTAAGCCCTAAACCCTGAACCCCTTTAAGATCCCTAAACCCTAAACCATTTTAAGATCCCAGGCATGAAGCTGGGTGCAGGAGCTGTGCAGGAGAGCCTACTTAAAGGATCATGGGACTTTGTAAGTAGGGTTATCATTAAGGTAACTATACTTATACTTACATATAACCCCACTTAGGAGACTTATAACCTTACTTGCTAACTCCCATGACCCTCCAAGTAGAGTCGAGATCATGATGCTGATGCAGATGAAGCACCTCACAACTTCCAAAACCCCTAAGCCCGAAACCCTTAAACCCAACGCCCCAAGTTCAAGTGGCCACAGACTATACCTGGACCCTACAGATGCTACCTTTTTAACAGAATAAGTCATAAGTTATAAGGTAAGGCTTAGAAGCGGCTCGGGGTTCGGGCTTAGGCTGGGCTTTAGAGTACGGTGCTTAAAGGATCATGGGACTTAGTAAGTAGGGTTATAACTAAGGTAGCCATACTTATAAACCCAATTAGGGGACCTTATAACCTTACTTACTAAGTCCCATGATCCTCCAAGTATTTGGAGCCGAAGATGCTATAATTTGTGCACTTAGACTGAACAAGGACCCTTTCCAGAACCGTTGCCTGGCAAAAGGACCCTTATCGAACAACATCTCATAAGGATAGAATGCATAAATCCGAAACCCTTCGGGAACCCTGGCAAAAAGCCTTCCATGACGTGTCCCGAAATCCTACACTCTGATGTTCCTAAACCCTAAACTCGAAATTTTACACACTAAGCCCTCAACTCCTGAACCGTCAACACTGAACCTTACACCCTAAACCCGAAACCCTAAAGCCTAAACCCTAAACCCTACACCCTAAACCCTACACCCTAAACCCTGCACCCTAAACCCTACACGCTAAACCCTAATCCCCCTAAACCCGCCCTAAACCCCTGCACCCCATGAAGACGAGTCCTCCACGTGCTTTCTCTCGGAGATGCCGAAGCCAACGACCACAGGAAGATCGCCCTCCTTGTAGCCGTGCCTGGGCGGAGAAAACGGATAATTATCACCCTAAACCCCAAACCCTAAACCCTAAACCCCCTAAACCCCAAACCCTATAAGGGCCAATGGCCCTTTAATAGAGCCCTTGTGGTCCTCAATAGTGGGTATTTGGGGTATAGTAGAGGGTATTTTGGGGGGTCTCGGTAAGGATATCTTGAAAAGTAAAGTGTTACATGATGTCTTGGCGATGTTTTACCTGGGGGGGGGGGGAATCGTCAAGTTTGGAGCCTTGCTTGTAGCCGTATCTGTGTGGCGAAGACTTAAAGGATCATGGAACTTAGTAGCTTGGGGTTATAAAAAGGTAATCAAACTGGTAAGTAATACTTGCAACCCCAGTGAAGGTGCTTGCAACCTTACTTCCAAAGTCCCATGAAACTCCTAAGTAGGGAATGGCGTAACGTTTTTGTTCTTGCAGCGGTGCTTGAGCTTCGGCATTACACTTCTACGGTTTAAGGGCATAGGGTCAGGTTTAGCCATGGATCTTGGGGCTTGCTTTTCAGCATTTGACATTTGCATAAAAAACACTTGTATGTATGCATGTCTGCGTGCATGCATGCATGCATGGATTGATGGATGTATTATATTTCTGGGGGCAACCTACACCTTCATTAAACCCTAAACACTAAACCCTAAACCTTAAACCCTAAAACCCCAGACCCTAAACCCTAAACCCTAAACTAAATTTCAAACCCTGGCTTTAGGGTCGGATGCATGTCGGATGTTTTGGGCTTCAGGGGCCCAGGGCGTACGGCAGTTGACGAGGTAATTACACAGAGCTTAGGGTTTAGGGTTTATAAGGGCTCAGGGCTTCATACTTCCAGCTTCTGCGGTTTAGGGTTTAGAGTTGGGTTTAGGGTTTAGGGTTTAGGGTTCAGGGTTTAGGGTTTGTTCCATTCAGATTCAGCATCTGAACGCGGGAAACGGAAACACATCGAGTGTGCTGCGCTTGCTCAGGGGTTCAAGCGGCTCAACACCTCGGGTTTCACGCAATTGTATACAAACCCTGTCGAATACATGGTAGCTGGTAGCAGGAGCCCTCGCGGCCCTCTCCGAAGCAAGAAGTACCAGAAGCCTTGTCAGCTTGATCTTAGTGCATCTATTTGTTGTACTGGCCTACAGCAATCGCCGGACCTCGGGTTCAGATGTCATCATCAGCGCCGTACGGCCCGCGTTGTCACGTAACTCCTTCTGAGCACCGGCCTCCAGGAGCAACCGCACTGCTTGCGCATGACCCCCCTCTGCTGCCATCATCAGCGCCGTAATGCCGCGGTTGTCACGCAACTCCTTCTGAGCACCGGCCTCCAGTAGCAACTGCACGACTGGCGCATTGCCCAATCTGGCCGCGTCCATCAGTGCTGTATGGCCATACCTACTTCGATGATCTATCGAAGCCCCAGCTTCCAGGAGCAACTGCACGATGTCCACGTAGCCCCTTCCTGATGCCATCATCAACGGTGTCACTCCAGCGCGATTTGGCGTACAGCTTGGATCGATGGGCAGCTGCAAAACTGCTTCAGCCTGAGAGGTACCCAAAGCTTCTGAGGATGTAATGTGTGTAATTAGAATAGGGTCTTGGGGTGACTCGGACATACGTCTGAAGCGAACAAGGCTTTAGATGACTTGTGCATCCGTAGAAGGGGTATATTATACTATCCCAAAGGGTCCTAAGTACCTATATGGGGGATACTTACCCAAACCATAATAGTAATTCCTAATATAGGAACCCTACATTCTACTATATAGGTACTTAGGACCCTTTGGGTATAATTATAATAAGGAACCCCACAAGATGGTAGTATAGGTGATTATTTGGGCCCCTATAGTAAAGACACCAGGGATTCGAAGGGTCTCGCAGGATCTTCTGTGATCTGTGGGACGGAGAAGATGAGTTTGAAGATGGTCTTGAGAATTAAAACTAACCCTAAACCCTAAACTCTAAACCCTTACACTAAAACCATAACCATCAAAGGACCTCTGAAAAATAGTGATTAGTGTTTAGGGTTTAGGGTTTAGGTTTCAGTCATACAGGAGTCTCGGATTTTTCGCCATCAGAAGCGAACACCCTGCCTGGGCCACGTCGCCGTTCATTGACGCGTCCCAAAGCGTCGTCCAAGAAGCATCATTGGAGAAGTCTACGATCAAGATCTGCAGATCCATGGGAGTTTCCCACCTGACGGCATCTTCCAAAAAGTGGCCATCATGAGGAAGCCTTTGCCTGCATGATGGCAGCACACCGTCCTCTGGATCCGATCGGTGCTTCAATGCCCCGTTGCCCGCCGAACCCTGCCCGGCCGCAGCAGCGAGCTGTCTGGGCGTCGCTTCGGTGGCCTCGGAGGACGATGCAGCCACAACCTGTAGATCGAAAACAGAGTCGAGGGTGACGGAATCATCCAACGCCTTGCTTTCCTGAAGGAGCCTTTGCCTGAAGCGCGGCGGCAAGCCGTGCTGCTGATGCAATCTTTGCTTCAACGTCTTCACATCGCTAAGTTCTGCGAGGGGCAAGCTTGCCACCTCTTCCCCTGAGAGTTTTCTGATGCGCAGCATTGCCGGCCAAGCCACAGGGCATGGATGATAACCCTAAGCGGTTATGAACCAGATAAACCACCTAGACCCCCCAACTACCCTCTATTATCCCCCACATACCCACTATTAAGGGCCATAAGGGCTCTATTAAAGGGCCATTTGGGGGGTCCTGTCACATAAGCCCCATAAAACCAGGACCTAAACCCTCAAACCTAACACCCCGAGCCGCACCAACCCTGAACCCTATAAGCCCTATAAGCCCTGCTTGGAGGTTCATGGGTAGTTATAAGTGAGGTTACAAGTAGGGTAACGATAATTATAACCCGTATTAGGGGACTTATAACATTACTTTTAACTATGCCCATGAACCTCCAAGTATGAACCTGTAAGAAAAGCAATCCCCTGTTTGTTGCAAGGCCCGAGTTTTTCTTGAGCCGAAACCCTGCAGCGAAGCGCACTACAAGGCCAGGGACCGTCAGGGTTAAGGGTTTAGGGGTTTAGGGTTGTAGGGATTTAGGGTTTAGGGTTTAGGGTTTAGGGTTTAAAGTTTAGGGTTTAGGGTCTAAAGTTTACGGTTCCAGGTTATTGAAGGGCTCCTTTAAAGGTTTAGTAAAAGCTTCTTTTAAAGGGCTCCTCTAGGGGGCTCTTCAGGGTTCGTCAAGGGGTTTAGGGTTTAGGGTTTAGGGTTTACTGGGGCTTACAAAAGGCTTGCAGGGCTTATAGGGTTTTGTAAGATCCACCAGGACACCAGAAGTATTGAGAGCAACAGCCTTCTGATGTGTTGGGCCCATAGTTTACGTACTTCTGGGGGCTTACGTAACCAATAAAATAAAACCCTTGAGCCCGGGGCCCCTCATACCCTACCCCCCTTTTTGGGGTACCTACTTCTCTATATAACAGATCCTGACCAGAAAACTAGGTGCCCTAAAGAAGGCGTAGGGTACCACCCTAAACCCTAAACCCTAAACCCTAAACCCTGAACCCTAAACCCTAAACCCCTAAACCCTAAACCCTAAACCCTAAACCACCCTCTGGGTCCCTAAACCCTAAACCCTACAAATACCCTGAAGGAAGCTCCGACGACGGCGCCTCTTCTGAAGGGCTCAGAGGGCTTAGAACGTCAGCCATATGTCGGGTAAGCAAAGATAACGCGACTTTGGGCTTGAGGGTTTAAGCTTTCAGGTTTAGGGGTGTAAGGGTTCAAGGGTTCAGGGGTTAAGAGTTCAGGCCGGGTATAGGGTTTATGGTGCACATAATATGTGTATATATATATATATACATGTGTATATTTATGTCTGTATATATATATATACATACACCTCTGCCCTTAAACTAGTCCCTGTATGTACTTCAGGGCCCAAGTATATACTACATCTGCACATGGACCCTTCGGCGTATGTGCTCCGAAACCAAGATGAACCGTCTATACGCCGGAAAGCCCGGGAAGCTCGACGCTGTGAACCCTAAAAGGGTTTAGGGTTTAGGGTTTAGCGGTTTAGCGGTTTAGAGGTTTAGGGGTTTAGGGTTTAGGGTTTCAACAACCAGGCCCAAACAAAAACTCCAAACCGAAAACACCCGAAACCCTATACGGGGGGTCTACGTCGAGTTGGGCCCTGAGGATTGAGGGGTATGGGGCGTGGGGGCTTCGGCTCTGTAGGGTTTGGGCAGCTCCAGAGACTTTGGGGTTTAGGGTTTAGGGTTTAGGGTTTAGGGTTTAGGGTTTAGGGTTTAGGGCTCTATGGTAAAGGCTTAGAGGACCTCTAAAGTGTCTTACTTGGAGGATCATGGGACTTAGTAAGTAAGGTTCTAAGTCCCGTAATTGGGGTTATAAGTAAATATAAGTACAGTTACCTTAATTATAACCCTACTTACTAAGTCCCATGATCCTTTAAGTAATCCTATGTACCGATTTGTCGAGTATCCTCGGGAACTAAAGGTTAACCTTTGGCGGTCTATTTGGATTATTTAGGGGGTTTAGTACGCCAAAAAGGGCTAAAGGTTACCTGCTGTACTACTAAGTGTAGGACAAGACGCAAAGTAACAGGAAGTATGGAAGACCGAGAACTGCAGGTTCTGTGCTCCGAAACCTAGATGAGCCGACTGTCCGCCCCTTTCTACCGAAGAGGGTTTAGGGTTTAGGGTTTAGGGTTTAGGGTTTAGGGTTTAGGGTTACCTCATTATGGGGGGTTGGTGTTGAGGGCTTCTGGGGGAGGTTTTCGGCTTTGGAGGCTAGGGTTTGGGAACTGACCACAGGTCCAGGAGGCTTAGGGACCCTAAACAACTAAACCCTAAAGGCCCTAAGCCCTGAACCCTACGGCCCCGAAATCCTAAACCCCCGAACCCTAAGGTAGGGTTTGACTGCAAAAGTTTAGATTTTTTTTTTTTAAGGGCCTTTTCTGTTAAGCAAAGTTTAGAGTTTAGGCTCTAGGGCTTCTGGAGGGAGAGCTTTCAAAACAACTCTCTGCAGGCCTTACAAGAGCCAGCATCCCTACTATAAAAAGAGTGGCCTTACTAACTAGAATAGGGTGTTGCGGGTAGATTTCTCAGTTTTTTACTTACACAGGCGACGAGACAGGCGAACTTTTTTGCTAGTGGCCCGTAAGCCCAAAGCACAAAAGCCCTAAAACCCTAAACCCTAAACCGAAGCCCTAAACCCTAAACCCTAAAGCCCTAAAGCAGCAACCCTAAAGCCCTAAGCTTTGAATTCAATACGTCCAGCCACTTCTTGGCCGCATCACGAACCTCGGCTAGCAAAAGTTTAGGGTTTAGGGTTTGGGGTTCAAGGTTTAGTGTTTAGGATCCATTGCCAGGGCGTCTATAGGGCTTGGTTTAGGGTCTGTAACTTAATTATTTCTCATACAAGGAACGCCGCCCAAAAAACAGTATTGGTAGTTGTTGAGCCCTATACCCTAAACCCTGAACCTCAAACCCTAGGCCCCTATGCCAAAGCCATCTACAGTGTCGGCTGGATAGAAACTAGACCCTGAAACCCTAAACCCTAAACCCTAAAAACAAAAAAAATTGCTCCCAGAAAGCCCAAGCCGTCACCCGCAAAACCTGAACCCTGCCGGCCCTCCAACCCTGAGGGTTTAGGGGTTTCGGGTTTTTGTTTAGGGTTTTAGGGGTTCAGGGTTTAGGGTTTAGGGTTTAGGGGTTTAGGGTTTAGGGTTTCCCGTTCCGGGGTTTGATTTCCCTCACATATCTCACATCTTGATCTGGTCCAGTGCCTGCAATGTCTCCTGGACGCCCACCTGTGTCCAAGAAATGCTGCGAGAGGCATGGGCCCAACGGGCACTGTACGACACCTTCCATCGACCGTTCGGGTCGTCGCGATAGACCTTCACGTGTCAAAGCCCTTAGGTGCCTCAGTGGGGAGTACGCAGAGGATCTCCCCTAGCTTTTCGGCCTTTGCGAGCAGGGGCATGTTGTCCTTTGCCTCTGCCTTAAGCTGTGCGTGGATGGAAGCTACGGCAGCTTTTGCCTGGCTTTCGGTTGCGCCAGCTGAGAACAAGGTATTTGCGAGCTCCTTGCGCTTTGCGACGCCGATGACCCCAACTGCAATGGGGTCAAGCCAGTTCATCAGTGCATTGTGGGCACTCTCTGGAATCCCTAAACCCTAAACCCTAAAACCTAAACCCTAAACCCTAAACCCCAAACCCTAAACCCTAAAACCCTAAACCCTAAACCCTAAACCCTAAAACCTCTACTCCAGTGGCTTCCCTTGCCCCTGCCACTGCACCATCGACACTCTTGAGCTGTTTGGGAGGCATTGCAGATGATAGGGTTTAGGGTTTAGGGTTTAGGGTTTAGGGTTGATGATATTTCGTAGGGTGTTGAAGGCAGTTGCCCGCAATATGTTGCGTTCAGGGGTTTAGGGTTTGGGGCTTGGGGTGAAAACCTATACCATAAACCCTAACGAACCCCAAACTCTGGGCCCTAAACCCTAAACCCTAAACCCTAAACCCTAAACCCTAAACCCCAAACTCTGGGCCAGAAGCCATAAAAGCCTCTACCCTAAACCCCGAAATGGTCCTGAACTCAAAAATAAAAAAGCCCCAATGGCTGTTCAACCCGCAGATTTCCCAGAGGTAACAGTCGCTCAATCAGCAGGGTCGGGGTTTAGGGTTTAGGGTTTAGGGTTTAGGGTTTAGGGCTCCAATACCCTAAACCCTAAACCCTGAAACCCTGAAACCCTGAAACCCTAAACCCCGAAACCCCAAACCCGACACCAGAATCCAAGCAGCACCCTGAATCGAAGCCGTAGGCCCCTTGAAGCAGCATGAGCATGGGGGCCTATGAGCCGAGTGTTGGGTTACCAAACATTACCATGACCTACTTGTGTAGTTCTTGCTGTAAACCCCAGTACAGAAATTTAGAGGGACCAAACAGAAAAGGTGAAAAGGTAGGTTTTGGTAGTTCAATGCACAGGCAACCAGACACGAAGCCCCAAGCCGATGGTAGGTGCAGTCTGGGCTTAGCTTGGGGTTTGGGATTAAGGCTCAGGGTCTAGCCTCAACCCTAAAGCCCTAAACTCTTAGCCCCTCAAGCCTACACAAAGGTTGAGGGCTTATAGGGTTAAGGGTTATAAGGCTTCGGGTTTGTGCTTCAAGGATTCTCAAAGCCGAAACCCTACCTAGACACCCCCCAACCACCCTATAACATACCCTAAATACCTACTATTCAGGACCATAACAGCTCTGTGAAAGGGCAGGGAGTCCTGGTATGTGGACACTAAACCCTAAACCCCAACCCCCAAACCCTAAACCCTAAACCCTAAACCCTAAACCCCAAACCCCAAACCCTAAACCCTATAAACCATAAATCCTCTAGAGTTCGGGGCTTGGAGTTTTTGTGAGGTCAAGGGGTGACCTCACCGCCGAGACGCAGACTGCACCACTGCCTGGAAGGTCCACAGTTCAGGCTTGGGGTTTAGGGTTTAGGGGTTATAGGGCTTAGGGCTTAGGGTTTAGGGTTTAGGGTTTAGGGTTTAGGGGTTATAGGGCTTAGGGTTTAGGGTTTAGGGGTTATAGGTTTAGGGGTTATAGGGCTTAGGGTTTAGGGTTTAGGGGTTGTAGGGCTTAGGGTTTAGCGTCCGGGGTTATAGGGCTTAGGGTTGCTAGGGTCACTTGCAGTGCTCGGGGTGTCGTTGCCCATTCACGCTGAAAGAGTTTGTGGTTCGCATCCCATGCGCGAACAGAATCTATAGGCCTAGTGTTTAGGGAAGATATAGAGCCCCCAAAAGAATCCGTGAAACCCCCCCAACTGGGCTGAAATGCTGAGAGCATCATGGGACTTAGTAAGTAGGTTTATACGAACCTTTATTGGGGCTACCAACTATTATAGGTATAAGCTATAAGTATAGTTACCTTCTATATAACCCGAATCACCGAGTCCCATGATCCTTTAAGTAAGGCTTAGGGCGCCATAGCTGAAATGGAAGGCTGGGGGGGTCAGGTTATAGGGGCAAAGGCCGTGTCGGACTATTCAAGGCTTTAGGGCTTAAAGCGTTCATTGCGAAGAGTTTGGGCAATGGGGACACACCCACAAGGGTCCAAAGAGACACAGACCCTAAATCTACACTTTCAACCCTAAACCCTAAACCCTAAACGCTATGGTATGGCATTGAAGCCCACATATCTGTGCTAGACGCGTAGGGCTTCAATTGAGGACGCAGGATGAGCGAGGTCCGGTGAGGATAGATTTTCCCTAAGAGTCCATGTACCTGGGTTCCTTTACGCGTACCTTAAGGGTTCTAACAGGGTTGTATAGGCCTCAGAGTTTAAAATAGTTTAAGGGTCAATGTACCCAAACATAGTATATATACTTTGGGCTTAAAGCCGTCCCTATATAGGTACTTTGGGGCCAAAGTTTGTGCTATTTGGGTACCTAAAACCTAAACCCTAAACCCTAAACCCTAAACCCTAAACCCCTGGAGATATCAGAGCCTCAACAGGGCCCTGCTTCGGAGGGCTTCTGGATCCGAGCCTTCATATGGGTTTAGGGTTTAGGGTTTAGGATTTAGGGTTGGGTAGTTCTCTAAATCAGGTTCCCTTGTTGGCGTCCTTTGTATAAGCGTGCCGTACTATATTTGGGACCCCCCAAAGGGGGCCCTAATTTAGGAACTACCCATATTAGGGCCGTATTTGGGGGGTGCACTGTACTAAAAAGATCACTGTATCAGGGAAGCTTAGGGAAGACTATTTAGCAATTATACCTCCCCCTTAAAGACCCCAACCTGCACCGAAACCTGACCTGATAAAAATTCTACAGCCTGTATATGAGGCCCTGAATAGAATCCCGAACGGAACCCAGACTTATTATAGAAGCCCTTATAAAACCCTAATTATTGAGAAACCCTATGAACAAAATGGGTAGTTCTGAAAATCAGGGTCCCCTTTTTGGTCCCGCATGTACTACGATACTACGGCACCCTTATGAAAAGAAACCCCTAAAAAGAGACCCTAATTTAGAGAACTACCCAAGCAAAACTCTTATGGCACTCTCATAGAAACCTCACAGAAACCCTTATAGATCCCTTTTAAGGAACCCTAAAAGGGACCGACTTAAATGTGGAACAGCCTAAAGACATCCGCCCGCGCCTTGCACTCTGCGAGGCGGTTGGCCTTCGCTTTGGCTTCCTCGCCCTCTCGAGTGCCTGGCTGGCCAGAAGACACGATTCAGGGTTGTAGGGTTTAGGGTTTAGGGTTTCAAGGTTTAGGGTTTTAGGGTTTAGGGTTTAGGGATTTCGGGTTAGGATTAAGGTTGAGTTGTTTTGTGAGGGGTTTAAGCTATTTGAGGTTCAGGGTTTATTATAGGGCTTAGGGAGTAAGGTATGCGGCAAATATCCGAAACCTCTTGAACTGAGGGCTCTAGAGGGGGGTGTATCCGGGTCATCTAGGCTTCTGATGTTATACACTCTTGAATCCCCAAACAGCGTTAAAAGCACTGTGCTTGAAGGATCATGGGCCTCAGTAAGTAGGGTTATTATACGTAAGGTAACTATACGTATAACCCCAATTGGGGGACTTATAACCTTACTTACTACGTCCCATGATCCTCCAAGTAAGTGTTCATGTGCCCAAAGAGTAGATACTTTGGCCCCCAAAGTACCCAAGTAGGGACTACGTTAAGGCCAAAGTGTGTAGTATTTATAATTATTACACTGTATGTTTCATTCGTTGCCCGTACAAAGGCAGTGGTTCGTGGTGCGCGAGGCGCCCACGCAAAGGCGCAGGCGAAATGTTTACTGTAGGTTTAAGGGGTTTGGGGTTTAGGGGTTTAGGGCTTAGCCTAAACCCTAAACCCTAAACCCTAGGACCCTGATCCTCGAAATCAAGCACCACAGCTGCTGGCCGTTTATCCCATGCCAAATTGCCGCCCTTGATACGTGCAACCTCATTCTGTGCCAAGGCGCCCGTGACACCCAGCAAAGAAACGACCTGTGTGTCAGCCGTTTCCCGGCTTTTGCTTCATATAAGGACTCAAAGCTAACGCTAAGGCTGGTCTTTTCTATGTTTGACGGGACTCGTGGTTTCATTAGGGCTTCGGGTTTGGGGTTTCAGGCTTCAGGGTTTGCAGCGTAAGGGTGCGGAGCTTTGGGTTGGGGGGTTCTAACTTCTGTGTATAAGAATACATAAAAATATATTTTTCTGTGTGTATATGTATATATATATATATATGGGGGTTTCCGAAAATAGGGGACCCCAATATAGTACCCTAAACAGTAGGGTCCTTATTATAAGGACCCCAAAATAAGGTACCCCTTGTTTTCGGAAAGTCCCATATGGGAGATGTCAGAAACCCTGTTTTAAAGAAAACCCTCAACCCTAAGCTCTAAACCCTCAACCCCAAACCCTAAAGTCCTGAACAAGAACCCTGAGGCTCCAACTTTCCATACGGTGCATACTTGGGCCTTGCAGCGGCTCTTCTTCTTGGGAACCTCTTATGACGGCCGAAGTATAAGCTCTATGGGCACATGGAGCCTTAGGGGAGCATACAAAGATTCTCAAACTCTCTCACGGTTAGACCCTAAACCCGAAACCTGAAACCCACTAAGACCCTGAACCCTAAGACCGAAA